ATAGTATTTTACATTATTAGCCAGGTAAGTGAGTTTTTATTGGCGATAGGAGAAGTTGACTAGCGAGCCATTAGGCGAGCTTGTCATCTCCTAGAGCCAGTAATAACTATTACCTGGCGTATAATGTACAATATTTTATTTGTTACTCATTTGTAAACAATAGTAAACGTAAATAATTAGTTCTTAAATTGATCTTGAAGAAATATCTAAAATATCATGTGATCCATGTAACAGAGACTTCGCATTAATTCTGGCCAATGAAATTACTAGATTACTAACTTGTAAAATTTTTACAAGTCTGCTGTCAGTTTTACAGGTCTGCTATCAGTTTTACAAGTCAGTAGCGTTTAAACATGACGTTTACCCGTTTGCGTTTTGTCTTGTTAATCAACGTTTACAACTGAGTAACAAATAAACAATACTAATGTAAATATTAGTTATGTTGGTGACATGTATACTGTTAATGTAATTAAGTAAAAACTGTACAGTTGTAAATAAATAATAATAATAATAACATACCTATATTGAATGGTAGATACCGGAACTTACTTAGGATTATCAGCATGTACTTAGGTTGTTAAAGTCAGTATTTGGTATCTAGTAATAGGTAAACGAGGAATTTGGATTTCTTCTGCCGATGTACTATCTCGCTTTTGAAAAAGGACTGTGCCTTGAATTTTTTCGTCTGTTTCCACAGAATATGGCCTACTTATTCTTATTCTGTGACTGTTTCCTCATTGATGTCGAAGTTGCTCGCTGTGATAAAATTATCATTTTTTATTTGACAAATTTTTGTGAAATGTATATGGAACGCCGTTTTAGTATTTATACCAACATTTTATCATGTATCATTTTAAATAACAGTCAATCTTATGTCTCTAAATTTTTCGTTTGTTGTTTTTATCTTACGTATTAAGAGATTGATTTAAAAAAATGTTGATTAATAAAGATGATACATGAATTAAAATGTTTGTTGATAATTTTAATTAGGCGCTAGTATACACGTAGTCAAATAGACTAAACTGTAGTTTCTGAAACTTCCGCACAATCAGAGATACGAATTAAAATTATCAACAATCATTTTAATTAATGTAACATTTTAATTCAACAATCACTTTAAATAATTCTTGCCGATTTTAACAGCATGAATTCATATGATTGTTGAATTAAAATGTGCTCTGAAAATATTTGTACAATTTTATTCCAAAATTTTACAATGTGCCATTTTAAATAACAGTCAATCGTATGCCTCTACTTTTTACGTTTGTTGTTATTGTCTTACGTATTAAATATGATTGTTTAAAAAATGTTACTTAATAAAAATGTGAAATGAATTATATTGTTATATTGAATGAGTGTATATGAAACTGTATTTCAACAAACAATTAATAATACAAACAATTAAATTGAATTGCAAGAAATACTTCGATTAATAAAACGATTTTGTCCAACAAACATAAAAATTCATTCATTTTAAATGTGGAATTAAAATTATCAACAAACATTTTAATTCATCAGTCATATAAATTCGACGATTTGAAAGTTGAAGCCGAATATTTTCAACAATCACTTTAATTCAACAAACAAATAAATTTTTATTGTTAGACGTAGTAAAAGAATCTTTTAAAATGATTGTTGAATTAAAATGTCACATGAATTAAAATGTTTGTTGATAATTTTAATTAGGCGCTAGTATACACGTACCCAGATACACTAAAGGATAGTTCCTGAAACTTCCGCACAATCACAGATACGAATTAAAATTATCAACAAACATTTTAATTCATGTAACATTTTAATTCAACAATCATTTTAAATAATGCTTTCCGATTTTAACAGCACGAATTAATATGATTGTTGAATTAAAATGATTGTTGGGAATATTTGTACAACACTTCAATAATTGAATTAATATGATTGTTGAATTAAAATGTTTGTTCATCATTTTAATCCCACATTTAATATGAATAAATTTTTATGTTTGTTGAATTAGTTCTAGTTAGTTTATTACTGTTCGTTTATGTATTCGTTTGTTGATTTGTATTGTTAAACTTTCGTTATACACATTGCTATATAATTCATACATCATTTCAATTAAGTGAGGTTTTTTAAACAAACATATTTAATGTTTCACATAAAAACAACAAACATAATAAATCGGGAAATAAAATTAACTGTTGTTTATAATGTTACATTGTAAACTTTCGTAATAAAAAGTAAAACGGCGTTCCATAAATGTAGGTAGACACCCTTAGCAGAACATGTAATATTGACGTTTACTGTACTTGTTATACCACTGTTGGAGAACATTTTCTGACCCGAAAGACCAATTTTCAAATGAGTATAACTTTTGTTTGAAAAAAACTGTTCAACAATTTTGTTCCGTATGTGCCTACACAACAAACTTCGTGGAATTTTGTCCATTTTCGTTGTCCGGCCAAGAATTGCAGTGCAATTATTTTTTTCGAATTTTCAAAAACTAATTTCAGATTCGTAATTTTTATATTCAAAAACCACCAGATACCAAATTTCGTCGAAATCAACATTTTTTCGCATCCCTATTTAGAGGTGTGCCCTTTTGTGGTAGGAATTTTGAAAAATTATTTGCAAAACCCGAAAGGGCATACAGTAAAACCTATTCAAAGACTTACCACCAGTCTCTGTAACTGTTATATGGTTGCTGAGAAAAAAATTAAAGGAGAAATGGAAACTGCCACTTTTTTGAGGGTGGCTCCTAAACGAATACATGGAGTTAACGAATTGTTTGAGATTTTACAATGCAACTCGGCGGAATGCATTTGTAAACGGCCTAAATGACTAGTTTTGGTATTCGGAGAAAAATTTCTTAGTAAAATAGAACCTTACGCATCGCTCCTTGTTGCGCGAACGCTCCTGACTATCCTTCCCTCTCCGTCTCAATCGCGACTCCCGACTCGGCGAGGTTGGTAGGATTTTACTTAAATGATTGTAACTTTTTTATTATGAAAAATTCAAGGTAATATTATAGAAAATAAA